TTAAAAGCAAGATAACCACTGTCCAAAACCATTCCAAATTTAATTCCGCTGCTTGATTCTTCTATTCTTCAATTTAGATTAATTTTTAAGTTTTCATAGGCAGTCTCTTTTTAAAACAGTAAAAGTTCCTCACCAGCTAGAAACACTTTCTCATTCCGTATCCTTCCGTTCTGGAGCCGCCCCGACTTTGTCAGCCGTGGCTGGATTTTTGTCGCCGGCTTGAAGAACTTCTCTTGCTTCTTTCAGGGATTTTGCGATATCCCTGAGATCAGCAAGACTTATTCTTCCTGTTCACCATCTCTTCGGGACGGTTTAGGTCCGTTTGGACCACCCAGCGGCAAAAGTATTGGCTGCGGTCTCAGAGCATTGAGACCGCACAACCATATTGTTGCAACATTGGCTCCTCCTCAGGGATGTTCAATTTTAATGTAGATCTTTGATCCTTTTAAACCAATGATCATCTCTCTCTCTCTGTCCACTGTCTTCAAAGGTGTGACCTTTGTTTTTCAAATGCATATTTCAAATTAAATATGGCAAACTTTTTAGAGCGCAGAACTGTACTTCCAATCAGTCCTGAAAAGTCACATTTGCAGCAGGACTGAAGTATGATGTGCGCTAATATTTTTCTTGAGTGGCAGGTCAAAAGTGGCTGAAAAAAGGACACCTGGCATCATTCCAGAACTATCCTATCCTTAGAAGAGATTAAAAAAATAAAGTTGTTGTGTCCCGTTGGCTGCCAGCAGAGCTAACAGCAGAGTCAGACAAGGAGGAGGTTGGGGGGGGGGAAGGCTCTGATAAGAAAACAACTTCAGAAGTCAGAGCCCAGCCCTTCCGTCCTCCCCCAAGTGGAGAGCCAGCTGTCTTCAGGGCCTGAGCTGAGTGAGGGGGAGGAAGAGATGGGGCCCATCCCAGATGCACGTATGCATAGAGAGGAGAGGAAAACAAAGGAAATCAATAAGCCGGCTCTCAGGGAAAGGCAGACGTGGATATTAGCAGCTGGGAAATAAATAGTAGAGGTTTGGGAGTGGCCAGTTGTCACAGTCAACTGTTCACTTTTAGGATACAGCAAGCAATTAGGATTTCTTGGCCCTGTCTGTTGGGACTAATTACGTTTGATTTTTTTCTTTATCCATGTAAAAAGACTTCCTATCCTGTTTGAAAAGGGGTTTGTTTGTACTCGCGAGCAAGCGGCTTATCATTACTTGGCAAGGCTGAGTCAGAACAAAAGCTACCTAAAATTGAAGACTTGCTGGTTAAAAACCTGGTAGATTCAAAATACTCCCATTTAGTTTCACCTGAGTTGCCTCCTTTTTCCAGAAGCTCAGATGAAGCTTTTTCCCTTAGATTAGGGGTCAGCTCTGGAGCCGCATATGGCTCTTTCATCCCTCTGCTGCGGCTCCCTCTCGTTCAAAATAGGCATCATAACCACCAATGTGCGACACCTGCCAGCATGAGATTTATTGAACTTTTCGACACTCCCCCTCCCCCTATGGTCGGTAGGCCAACCAAGGATAAATCCAAGAAAAGAAGTTTCAGGAAAAAAATTAAGTTTAATTCAACTACATATGCTAGTTTTGTGACCGCTGAGGAAATAGTCAGGCACGGGAAGGGTTTTGTGACTTCCAGTGTTTTCTTTTTTGTGGGAAATGGGTCCAAATGGCTCTTTGAGTGTTTAAGGTTACTGACCCTGGCGTTAGAACAAGACTCTCCAAACCAGGTGACTCGTTCAGTGCCATTCACACAACGAATGTCAAGGACTATCTGTACTCTTTTTCCTGCCTGTACTCCCAATTTGACATACGGAACTTTGGTGTGGCTCTTGATGCTGAAAAGGAGCGTTTTGGGTGCTTGGCTGCCCACTGTTGCTCCAACCGAGATCGGAAATTCTTGCAAAGACTCCAAAAAATTCTTACCAATTGGGATGGATGAAATCTGAGAGTAGAGATCCAACATCCGGTTCCCATCAGCATCCACAAGATAATTTCCTCGGCTTTCTTCGTAGTTGCAGAAAAAGTGGACTGCCTCTGCATTCTGAGAGAAACAGATGAAACAAGCTGAGATTTCCTGGTGTGATGCCAAAGTTGAGAATCAAGCAAAATAAGCCACAATTTAGGCTGGATAGGAAGGAGAATAGGAAATTCTGGTTGGTTTCCCATTTCTGTAAATCGTTTTTCTCTAAACATGCTTATCTTGGAAAGACAAGGGAATTCTGATAGTTTTGGCATTTGGGGACTAAAAAGGGGGAAAAGTTTAGGATGACAACTACAGTTGTACAATTCTGCTTTTCTTTTTTTCAGGTTCTCTCGGAGGTTTTATTGCTTAGTTTCTATCTTTGTTTTTGTTTGTTTTGTACATTTTATTATAGTGAAAAATTATATAGTGAAGGTAAGGGGATTCTAGGATTGTCTTATTGTTATGTGAGTCCCGTTTACCGAATTTTCAAACGGAAATGAATTTGAAAAGATCAGTAATGCAGTAGAGTGTCCATTTTACAGAAGCGGCTAGCTGAGGCTAAATGCAATGAGCAATTGTGCGAGACCATCCACTGCATTTTTCATTGAGCTCACTGAGCCAAGGAATGCACTGGGCATGTGTGTTTCTGTCCCCCGCCCCTTATCTTGCATCTGTTTGCGTTGGGGTGCACCAGGAAACAGGGCAGGCTTCATTCATTCATTTTCTGGGCCATGTGACCAAGGATCCGGGGCACTTGGAATAGAGCAGTGGCCAATATTCCAAATCTATGCCCAAGTGCCCTTCCCATCAGGAAGCATTGGGGAATTTTGGCATGATTATTTATTAATTTTTAGGTATTTATTTATTTAATTTCACCCACACATCCTCTCTTTTTTTTTTCCTGTAGCACCCAGTTATATCCAGATTATTTGTCTGCCACCAACAAATATGCTCCCATTCTGTTTAGCTTCATGGCCTTGCTGATTACAAAACAGGCATATGTATGTCGCTTAGCAACCTGCCATTCACACAATTTTGTGATTCAGCAGCCAATATTTGAAGGGTAGAAGATCTGGGATGTTTTTCAAGTGGAATCTGGAGAAATTACCTGAATCCCATTCAACTGTTTCATTAGTTCCTGAAAGAAGAAGAATGAATATTATTATACAGATTGACCAATCGAAAAACCAGGAGGTGAAATGTTCCTGTACAACCTATTCAACTTTTTTTGGTTTCTCTTTTTTATTTTTTATTTTACTTCATTCAACCCTAGGAAGTACAAAGGGCATCTAAATGTCATGAGTCCGGCCCAGGGGTTAAGGCCAGGGGTGGGATTCAGACGGTTTGGACCTGTTTGAGTGAACCGGATGTTAATTTTAATCTGGCCACCGAACTGGTAGTTGCAAGGACTGGATGGCCCTGCCCACCCCAACCCTCCCCTCCCAGGAGTCTCCACGTGGCCCGTTTTGGATATGAGGTAAGTGCTGGACCCACACGGAGGCTCTTGGAGGGCGAAAAAGGGCTTACTGGAAGTACCGGAAGTCTGAAAAGGGACCGTTTTCGTCTTCCTGGAGCCTCCAGAGCCTGGGCTGAATGAAAACTCCCTCCCTCTGCCATGGTGCAGGATGCTGACTAGGCCATAACCCCCCCCCCCAATGGCCACACCTACCCAGCAACCGGGCAGAGAACTGGTTGCTAAAAAATTTCAATCCCACCCCTGGTTAAGGCACTAGGCTAGAAAACAGGAGATGGTGAGTTCAACATCTACCTTTAGCCATGAAAGCCGGCTGGATGATTTTGGGCCAGTCACTTTCTCTTAGCCCAACCCACCTCACAAGGTTGTGGGGAGAATAGGAGAAGGAAGGTGGGTTGGATACATTTGCTGCCTTGGGTTATTTTAAAAAATACAAGATAAATAATAAATCTAAAGCATAACAAATAACAGAGCTGGAAGGGACCTTGGATGTCTTCTAGTCAAGCCCCCTGTTCAAGCAGGAGACCCTACACCATTTCAGTCAAATGGCTGTCCAGTCTCTTCTTGAAAGTCTCCAGTGATGGAGCACCTATAACTTCTGAAGGCAAAATCCATTTTATCCCAAATCCATAAGCACTAGAAGTATTTTTTTAAATAGGAATGTGTATTAGATCTTCGCTCCCTTGAGTTATTTATAAAATAATAAAGGCAGGATATAAATAAAATCATAAAATAATAAACTAAAGTACACTAAATAAAAAAATAAAAAATAAAAAATAAAAAAATAAATAAAAATAAATAAATAAATAAATAAAATAAAATAATAAAATAAAAAAATAAAAAATAAAAAATAAA